AATCGCTTCGGCGTCTTTCTGAAGATCAGCGAGGTCCGGCAGCCCTACCGGAACACTATCACCGTCCCGCTGAAAGCCTGGGCCCGCTTCGGGGAGAACTTCATGCGGTACGAGGAGGAGATGCGACACATCTTCACCTGCCATAAAGAGAAGAGGACAGACACGGAGGAGCAGGAGAATTGACGCAAACTACTTCTGATATTTCTGTTGTTAGTTGTACCTCTAGCCTCCTGCTGTACTAGCGGACAATCGCGACCGGTGCCGGACAGGTGCAGTCTTTCATTAGTGTGTGTGTGTGTGTGTGTGTGTGTGTGTGTGAGTGAGTGAGAGAGAGACAGCGTGCTTAGTAAAGCATTAGGATTTGGTGTTATTACATCCAATACTTCTTCCCAGGCTTAACATGTGTGGGGCTGCTGTGCAATTTCTCAAAACTGGGAATCAAATAATCAAGGTCTTATCAAGCACTTATATCAGAAATGCACTGCGGAGTATTTTGATGGTCCAAAGTGAAGTTTTTTTTTTTTTTTTGAAGCCTGACTTTGTCAGTGATAAGGAGAACTGCAACATTTTGCCATTGCACAAATACTGCTTTCCCCATTTGAAATTAGAAACCAAAAAGTGCATTAATATTTACAATATTTGGATGAATTATTTACACACTAGCCTAATGAAATATACCTAACATAATGAGGCTGCATGAACTATATAAGCATCAAATATATGAGATTGTGTGGCCATCCTTTAGCATATAACGGTCACATCAAGATTTTTTTTTTTTTAAGTTTTACGTTTTTAAAAGTGGCTTTAAATAATGGATTTAAATTATGTCCATCTCTCTGATGAGACAAAAATCATTCTTGATAGGAGTGCAATATATTATTTTTCCCTGTCAGTGAGGTTAAACGACAGCTGTGCAAAAGCAAAGCAAACAAATAGGCTCGTTTTAAAATAATAGAATTTAGTTTAGCTTGGTTTGCAGGGTTATGTGGTCTTATGTGAAATGCTGAAAAGAATTGTCACACTGGATTTACACAAACCTAAAAAAAGTTTAAATGCATTTGCCATGATGTCATTCCTTTCAAAACAATGGCTGTTTAAATATAATAATTGTCATACACATATTCTACTGCATAACTAATACATAATCATTTGTTTTTTAAATAGTATATGATCAAATTTAACAAAAATAACAAGCACATTTTGAAAAAAAAAATTTCCTTCACTTCAAAATCATTGGATTTGCTTGAAATGGTTTTTGCAGATTTTGGCAAACAGTTTTAAAGTCTACATTGAAATTGGGCCTACTATGCACAGTATGCATTTTGCATACTGAATTTCATTTAAATAAAATATAAGCAGTAGTGTACTATTATGAAAACACAGCATTTGTTAACTAGTTGCCTTTACTAAAACCTTATTCCTGGGGTTGTAGCATTTAGAGGCATGGACATACATGCATCTAGGCAGTTGTTTTCTCATTATAGCACAACTAATGAGTATTTTCATTGGTTTTAGGTCTGGCTCGAGTTGGCTTCTGTTTATTTGTACTGTAATTATTGTCTAGCTGACGGGAAAAGCAGTTCGTTTCAGCACATCTTTTTTTTTCTGCGTTCGTAAGCATGTGTGTGTGTGTGTGTGAGAGAGTATTTATGTTTTAGCAGAATATGACTGAATTATGGGTACATTCTGTGGGTTAGTGTTAAGATGCTGATCTATAACAGACACCTCCTACAGGAAGCACTTTATTCAAACAGCACTTTGAGCTATTTCATCTGCTTTACCACTGCAAAGAGAAACCTTCATTTCTGCCCCATATGAAAAGATTGACAATCGCGCTCCCAGATTAACACCTCAGTTTTTCAGAAGTGCATTCATCTGTTTGCTCTGTGCGCTTCTTGGATCATTTCGATCAGATTTGGTTGCAATGTGTTATTTCAAGGATCTGTTTACCATATCACTGACACAGAGTATTGAGTCTGTGATTGTATTGTTCTCATTGTGTAGTTCGTTTCCTATGACTGTCTGCACGCGGATTTCTTACAATATGGGCTGCTATAGAAGGACGCAGTATATGAGTCATAATGCCTAGTATACAGATTTCCTGTATTTAGATTGTAGGAAGGTTGAGGCCGTTATTTTCGCCTCAAAATTCAAACCGTTTTTCTACCAAGGGCATCAAAATATTTAGAAAGTTACCTTTGAATGGCAGCATCTGGTTGTCCTCTTTTACCTATAAAGTAGTAAACATGTAAAGCTGGTGCAAAATTGATGAACCATGTGCACTTTAAAAATCTGAGTACAGGTTTGTTACCAACAAAGAAATGAGTAGAAGTATGCTTGTTATACATGTATGTGCAATGCATGACCAGAAGAGAGCAGTGTTCATATGATGTTTTTCTCACTTTATGTATAGGTGGTATACAAATATTGTTAGTGTACACAATTTATCACCCTGATGAAACAGCATATTTAATTCTAAAGGAATTATTTGGGAAGATTGATGTCTATTTTCCTACACTACACTACAGTTAAAGGAAACAGCTATGTCAATTTATGAGGCCATCTCAAAATGCGATTATATTGCAGCTATATCTGAGTTACTCTAAACACTTGAATTCATGAAATTGGACTGTTATGCATAACATGTACTGAAGTCACAGTTTTCAACCCATAGGCCTTAAAATCATTACACTGTGGTTGTAATGATTGACTTTAGGGTTACGAATTATCGTTCCAACGTAGTTTGCCTTCTTCTCTAAAATGTAACATTTTGTATGCACGGTGTTAGAAAACAAAAGAACCGAGGAAAAGGTATTTCGAATGCGACCTTCCAAATAAAATGAACAATAACACAAAGTAAAATAGAAAAATATTTCATTTCGGGGAATATTAAAATATAACAGCAGAGATGCATAGACTTCTGTATATGTTCTTGATAGTGGTGTGGGTAATGTGATGTTCTAAAAATGAAAAAAACAAAGGTTGTTCACAAACTTTCTTGAGTTGTTCCTTTTTATCTTTGTGTTGACCATCTGCGGTTGGAATTAAGACGTGTCAGTGTTTGTTAAATGATTTTAAAAGATGGCAAAATAAAAAAAAAATGTTTTGGTGTATCTTTAGATCATGTAAAGTAGTCCTCTTGTAGAGCCTTCGAATATTATACGACTCAAAAACAAGAAAGAAATGGTTCTGTCTAGTAGCACTTTCTTTTCACGTGAGTACTGTATTAGTTTCTGTTTAACATGTATGAATATTCCTGATTTGCCTTGTAATGTTTTAAAAGGTTGAAATATGTAGGATACATATCTGACGAAATATGAAGTTTTAAGTTTGACGTTTGTGCATGCCAACAGTAGGGTCCTGACAAACTTCAAATATATATGAAAAATGGTGCTATATGAGAACATATAAAGGTGCTGAACTGGACCCTAGCTGCATGCATGATGAATGACAATGGAAACAGTAGAGCAAACCCGAGGCTTTTCAGTTTTGAGAATGACGACAAGATGCCCTTTCTCAATGTGAGTAGTTTTGCGTAACTGTAAATCATGCATACTTCCAGACGCTCGTCTGTGTCTGTCCAGTCGCGTGTGGAGGCTCCCTGCACACAAGTCTGGCTTTATTCTCCAATTAAGGTTGCTTTGAACAGGATGGCATAAGAAAGGTGTGTTTGCTCATGTTGAAGTTGCAAAAATATGTCAGACATGCAACCAGGGAGCAGCCCATCTGCCACGGCTGATACTCAGTCTTCACAGTGAATAACAGCACATTATAAAACTGGTGGGTGAGAACTTGAATCGGTCTCATGATGGAAATCCTCACCAAAGTACATGCTGAAATGTGTGATGCTTATTTACAGTTACCCAATATTTGTGTGTAAACGTTCCACAGACAATCTAATAAAATACAACTTTTTTATGTTTAAAATGTGTTTTGATCAACTCTTCAGATATCATTGGCTAATATTATATTATTGACACTTTTTATCTTTTTCCACATTAAAGTGAGTTCATAACTTATTATTGGAAGTCGTTTGTACTGTATTTTGGTATGACATGCTTTTAGCATAGAAAATGCAAATGTTCAATTGCTTTTACATTTGTGCGTCAGTCAATGCAATAACCAGCTGATTTAGGCTTCAAGATCGAAGTGTCAGGCCTTTTTTTGAGACGTTATGTGCTTTTGTTAGGCTAGATATATGCAACATAGCATATTGAATCTTAACTGTAATGCTTTTCCACATGTGTCAGGAAGAAATATCCCTCTGACTCATGGTCATTTGAGCTCAAGCGCTGAGCCATGATTTCTGATAGCCACTCGATCTTAACCTCTCTGGTCTTTTCTTTCAGAAATACTGGTTATTTCTGAAGGATTTAATCACATAGTTGCAGCAAGGAATTTTTTTCAGCTCTGATCTTCGCCTGGTTTCCTGGATTTCTCCCTTAGTCTTGCCCCTTCTGACTCTGTCTGCCCATCGTCGACCCACGCTAGCCCTAGGACTGTTCTTGTGTCTTGCTCACCATATACCTGTCTGCCTCTGTTTGACCCTGCCTGCTTCATGACCACGTCTCTGTCTTCTCCACAATAAAGCCTTGCAGATGGATCCGCACGTCTCACGTCTTGTCAGCCCCGTAACACATCTAGAATATTTATACATTGAAAAAACAAGGCACAGGAATATATACAGTAGGCTATGCTTTTTCTGATGAGCAGTGTTTTCTCATATGAAGCCCCGTGGCAACCTTTGACCCATATATCAAGTAGAAATTCTCAGATAGTATAATACTAAAATGTGTGTATATATATATGTATCTCATCTATATATCTACATCTCTTGTCTATGTGGGTGGTATTTTGCAAGGCTCATTGGTGGTTGGACTAAAGAAGAACCCGTGTGTTAGTAACAGTACTAGGTAATTTCCTGTGCCTTTGCTGTTCAGCGTTTGAGGTCAAGCGATTTCCTTTTTGGTATGTCTCACTTGATGTTCCTCAAACTGAAGTGACAAACTTCACACAGTTCCCTGCTAAGATATCTTAGATCATGTCATACATGCTCAACTGCCATTTTACATGATGGTAAGTACCCATAATTTTGATCTTTCAAGTTGAAACGATTATTTCTTTCAATGTGTTGATACCTGTTCGTTTGTTTGCTCGGTTATAGTGTAGATGCGATTTTACTTGTATATAAACATTTTACATATATACTGTACATAGCTGTGTTTTCACACTGTCATGCTGGTGTATGAAACATAACCAACATGTAGTAATACTAAATGCTACTAATAATACGTCTTTAGCCAAATCTTTCACAGGAAGCTATGTGATTTTCAATGTTGAATTATAGCAACATTCCCTAAACCTTGAGTTTAATAACGCTGAACTGACCACTTCTGAAGGCTGCTTTTTTTTAGACATGTAAAAGCTTAAATACCTGTGTCTACATTTACATTTCATGCTGTGGCAGTGTGATTATTTTCCAAGATGCATTTCTTTTTTTTTTTCAGTAAAGATTTCTACAACACCCCTTTTGCCATTTATCATCTTATTAGACTGTTGAAAAGGTTGTTGAAAAAATTAAATGACTTTTTGTGGTCATACAGTCACATGGTAAATAGTCCAAACAAAGAGCTGACCAAGAATAACAACATTTATGCAAAGTTCATGTTTGTGAGCACTACAGCATAAATATAATCTGGACAACAGTGAAGCTCTCGCTGCCTTGACATTTGGTGAGAATTAGTTTTTACCTTATATTCATTCTAAAGGCAGTTATATATAAACACAAAAGAAACCAACTGTATGTAGTGAAAGAGCAAATCGGTTGTGTTTTATCTGTTTGCCTGGCACTTGTAAAGCAGGTGACAGTTTATAATAGTTTTGGGAATATCTGCCGAGAAATTGTCATCAGATGAAATATAGACTCTTTTTACATGTTAGATTAATGTTTTTCAGGGTGAAATTCAGTTGTAAACCAGTATGGAGAAAAGACAGCGTGAGGAGACATTAGAGGGCTCCAGATCACACCAGTCAACATTAACAGGAACCCTGGCACTGAAGAACTTCACCATACCCAGGAAGAAACGGACCTCTGGAGAAGGTTTTACTAGATTTTCTCAAAATCCAAATCAACAAAATAATCTTTGTGATAGCATACTAAACATCCAAACTGTTTCATGATGGTGCTGTCATAATCCAGAGCTACTGTTAAATTCATCAGCTGTTTTTAAAAAGTGCTTTTTGACTTCTTTTCGGTCAGTCCTTTTGGAATGTTGTTCAGAGGAAAGCCGCGACTACAATCTTATTCAGACAAAACTGAGAGATGCCAAGCTGGACTCTAGAAAGGACCGAGGAAATGCATGGGTCTGGAAAGATGTTTGTTTAGTGCACAATGAGGAGCTTCTTAAAATGTTCTCCGAAAAAAGGTAATGACATAAAAATGCAACATACAATAACATGCTGGCCAGTCGCTACATTTTCCAGTGCAGTTGCAGGCTTTGCTCTTGTGCATGCGGCACCTTCAATGATGCTGCTTTATTTGTTACCTTCTGTAGCTGTACATTCAGAAATTTAAAAGATTTTTCCACATTAAACGAATGTTGCTTTTCATTGCATATCTGTCACCGCTCATCAACTGACTACAGGGCAGAGATGCGTGCTAAAGGAAGACATGGGAGAGAAATGGAAGAAAGATTTTGTTTTTTAGTTGCATCGGACCAAATGGTGGCCCAGATTTATCAGCACGGTCTACGGGTTGGCAGCACTGTCCAGTATGCCTATGGAAAGCCATCACATGGAGTATATCTCTTTAGGCATGTCGATGTGGCTCTGAAATCCAATACCAACATATTAAGTGCAAAAAAAATAGTAATTTTCAAGGTTTGTTGAATGTTTCCTGTGTCCTCTACAGTCAAAGAATTGTGAAATTACATTTATTAATGGAATGACAATAGTGAACATTTTTGTGTTTTGGAGCTTCAGGTTCTTTATGGAAAGGTGAAAACAATCGCCCCAAGCCTGGACTGGAACAAAACACAAGATCCCACTGTGGGCTTTGACTGTCACATGTGTAAAGAAGCAGTATCCCATCGAGACACTCTTCACCAGCAAGTTCTGGGGTCCTCTGTGAGTTGATTTAATCTCAGAATAACAAATTAGCTGATCAAATGGACTGGATAGTCAACAGGAGTCTTAATAAAACATTGTTCTTCTAGGTTTTTCTGTTTGACTTTAACGAGAAGCAGGAGCTTACTGAAAGACCCAGGCAGTGTTTGCCGTATGCTGTAGTTTCATTTGTTCCTGCCAGCAGTGCCATTCTGACTGTGCCTACAAACCTACCACTCTCAGCTTCAGCGCTACCTATTGGCCAAGTGCATGGTGAGATAAAACACAAACCTTTTTTATTAAGACATCAAATACATGCCCATCATTATCAAGTCAAGTTTATTTCTATAGCACTTTTCACAATTCATATGCAGAAATGTATGTCTTAGTGTTTATAATGCATCAAGTCTTTTAATCAATAATGTGTGTGATTATTTTATCCCTGAAAAATACAACAGACCATTTTAAGGCATGTACTGTGGCAAAGAGAAGAGGAAAAGGAGACACTGCCACCATTACATTCAAACATTTTGGCACGCCGGGCTGCTGTGAGACAGATTATACACCTCAGAATCCAGAAGTAGAAGCTCCACTTAAAAAGAGCGATATGCAAAACACTCAGTCATTCAACCCAAAACAGCACCGGATTGCTGCCAGTGAGGACTCCGAATATTCCAGCAGTTCAGGGCCAGTTATGGATCACACTGCTGTCTCCCAAAGCTTGCTGGGAAAGAAAGCATTCCTGAGTAATCACAAAAAAAATACTGCAAGCACACATGGAGGAAATGACAATACATGGGACACAGTACCTCAAAGTCCGTTGGACAAAATTTCTACCATAGTGTATTCTTCACGCTTGGTTAGGGATCCTCGTCTATCTAGACAAGAAGCAAATCAACAGACCAACTGTTCAGATACCATGGTAGCATACATTGGATCAGGATGTGATAATAGAAAATGCCAACCAGCTGATAAAAACCAAGAAGACAATTGTGGATTTGCTGGAAATACTTGTGATTCAAAAGAGCCATCAAACACAGACAAGAAGGACACTCAAAGGGAATCCTCAAAGATTGATCAATGTGCGCATACCACAACGTTGCCCTCAATGAAGTTATTCAAAATGAAATTCCAAAAATATGCTGCCTACTTTAGAATGAGTCAGGAAGAGAGGCATCACAAAATTTGGTCACAAGGAAACATGTCACCAGAACAAAAGCAAGAATTAACTGACCGTATACATTTTTATGAAGTATATTATCAGAAGTATAAAGAGGGATTGATCTTTCAATATGTCAGTGAGACAAAGAAGACCTCCAGGCTGTCTCAAAGAGAGCCCAAAGAAAATCACATTCTACAGACAAAAGACTATACATACAAGCACAATCAGTCCTATGTGTGCAAACCAAAAAGTCATGATGCTGCAAGTTTGTCAGATAACAATGATTTTGTTAACACGGATAAATGTAGCACAACACACATTCATAAAACCAGTCATCCATATCATCAAGAATCGAGTGCAGTAATGTTGACAGAAAAGGGACAGGGTCAAGCACCAGAGACTCACCAGGACCATCCCAATAGATGTCTGATTCAGTCTCCAGATAAACTTTCAGAGCAATCCTTTGTGCTGAGATCACTGAATCTCAACCTCACAGATGAGAAAACTGATGCACAAAATGTACAGCTTGATCTCAAACACCCAAATCCTTTAACTTGTCCCTCTAATGAAGCTAAGCTTAATCACAGCTTAGAATGTGAAAGTGAGCTCGCAGTACAGGACTTGCAAGAGAATGAATCTATTCCACGTGTTAACTTGGTTGAAAAGCCCAGCACTGAAGCATACCTTACTTATACAAACAATTTCGCATATATATCGTCTATAGATATCGCAAGCTGTGTTGTAGTCTCTAGTTGTGGGACATCAGACAACTGTGATCTCAGTCTTCCCATGGCAGTAAAGCAAAAGCAGAATGGGAAAATTTGCTGTGAAGACTCTGAAAGATCTCCAGAGCTCGATATGGAAACAGTAAAGCAGGACAACAGTACTCACTGGGAATTGTACAAAAGAATTCAACTTGATCAACTTTTGCCAAGCATGCTTCCAAAGCATGTTTTCTCCTCAAGTACAAACAGAGATATGGGCAGACCTGCAGACAACATTTCCAAGCTAAAAAATGAAAGCAAAGATCACAGCAAAGCTGAAACGAACCTAAACATGAGATTCTGGGAAGATATCCATCTCAAAGTTACTCTAAAAGCCAGCAAAACCTCTGCTCATACTACAGAAGTGCTTTCTCTCTCTGAGCGATTTTCAAAAATGAAAGGCCTTCAAAAGAAATTGAGTGAAAGAAACAATGAAATGATTCAAAGCCCAAGGATCCAAATGTGCAGTAGCAAAGGATACAAAGAAACTGCAACTTGTAATGTTGAACTAATACAACTACTAGCTCAGAGGTACAGTAAATCTAAAATGCATGTGAAATGGAAGAGCTTGAGCAGACCAGGCAGTAAGAAGACATGTCTCAAAAAACAGCATGTTGTTCTATCACTAGGTCACTCTCTAAAGAGGAGCATATATGTCAAAAAGACACGCTTTTGGAAAGCAAAGAGGAATCTTAGCAGAACAGCTGTGTCAGCTGAGAGCCCCCATGAAACAGTAAACAGCAAAGCAACATCAGACCCTTCAAACAGTCCATCTGAAATAGTCCTTACAGAACACGAAGATCAAGACCCAGACTCTCACACATCTGATGACAGACAATCATCACATGTTCAGGGTTCTCAGGAGGCTAATGCCACTCTTCCTGAGACCAAACCAATAGAGGAGCCAATAAATCCTACAGAACCACTTACAGAAGATATCTATAAAAGGGATTCAGTCTACACTGAGAAGGCAACAGAAGATTTTACTCCAAATCTAATCCCAGTAATGGTGGATAAAGGAGAACAAGTGAAGACAGCTGAAAACATCTCCAATCAAAGCCAAACATCCTTGATCACATGCACTAGCAAAGAACATGGGAGTAACACAGAGTGCAAAGAGGAGAACATATTGCTGAATTTGACATCAGAGACTGGACTGAATCCATTAAGCAAGGAGCATTTCACAATGAAAATCACAGTAGATGACAATGTAGATGCTTTGAGTATACATGATTATGAGGCATCAGAAACACACAGTGATGTGCCTGCAAGCAACACAATCAACAGTCATAAAACTGAACTCCATACAAACATGACTCCAGAAGCCAGGGTGATGGATACTATCAATGCTACGGCTGAGACAGACGCTATAAAATATAGTGAGCAAAATGCAAGTAGGAAAAATACTCTAAATGTACAGTGTTTTGAAGGAACAGAAGCCGGGCTGCTGTGAGACAGATTATACACCTCAGAATCCAGAAGTAGAAGCTCCACTTAAAAAGAGCGATATGCAAAACACTCAGTCATTCAACCCAAAACAGCACTGGATTGCTGCCAGTGAGGACTCCGAATCTTCCAGCAGTTCAGGGCCAGTTATGGATCACACTGCTGTCTCCCAAAGCTTGCTGGGAAAGAAAGCATTCCTGAGTAATCACAAAAAAAATACTGCAAGCACACATGGAGGAAATGACAATACATGGGACACAGTACCTCAAAGTCCGTTGGACAAAATTTCTACCATAGTGTATTCTTCACGCTTGGTTAGGGATCCTCGTCTATCTAGACAAGAAGCAAATCAACAGACCAACTGTTCAGATACCATGGTAGCATACATTGGATCAGGATGTGATAATAGAAAATGCCAACCAGCTGATAAAAACCAAGAAGACAATTGTGGATTTGCTGGAAATACTTGTGATTCAAAAGAGCCATCAAACACAGACAAGAAGGACACTCAAAGGGAATCCTCAAAGATTGATCAATGTGCGCATACCACAACGTTGCCCTCAATGAAGTTATTCAAAATGAAATTCCAAAAATATGCTGCCTACTTTAGAATGAGTCAGGAAGAGAGGCATCACAAAATTTGGTCACAAGGAAACATGTCACCAGAACAAAAGCAAGAATTAACTGACCGTATACATTTTTATGAAGTATATTATCAGAAGTATAAAGAGGGATTGATCTTTCAATATGTCAGTGAGACAAAGAAGACCTCCAGGCTGTCTCAAAGAGAGCCCAAAGAAAATCACATTCTACAGACAAAAGACTATACATACAAGCACAATCAGTCCTATGTGTGCAAACCAAAAAGTCATGATGCTGCAAGTTTGTCAGATAACAATGATTTTGTTAACACGGATAAATGTAGCACAACACACATTCATAAAACCAGTCATCCATATCATCAAGAATCGAGTGCAGTAATGTTGACAGAAAAGGGACAGGGTCAAGCACCAGAGACTCACCAGGACCATCCCAATAGATGTCTGATTCAGTCTCCAGATAAACTTTCAGAGCAATCCTTTGTGCTGAGATCACTGAATCTCAACCTCACAGATGAGAAAACTGCTGCACAAAATGTACAGCTTGATCTCAAACACCCAAATCCTTTAACTTGTCCCTCTAATGAAGCTAAGCTTAATCACAGCTTAGAATGTGAAAGTGAGCTCGCAGTACAGGACTTGCAAGAGAATGAATCTATTCCACGTGTTAACTTGGTTGAAAAGCCCAGCACTGAAGCATACCTTACTTATACAAACAATTTCGCATATATATCGTCTATAGATATCGCAAGCTGTGTTGTAGTCTCTAGTTGTGGGACATCAGACAACTGTGATCTCAGTCTTCCCATGGCAGTAAAGCAAAAGCAGAATGGGAAAATTTGCTGTGAAGACTCTGAAAGATCTCCAGAGCTCGATATGGAAACAGTAAAGCAGGACAACAGTACTCACTGGGAATTGTACAAAAGAATTCAACTTGATCAACTTTTGCCAAGCATGCTTCCAAAGCATGTTTTCTCCTCAAGTACAAACAGAGATATGGGCAGACCTGCAGACAACATTTCCAAGCTAAAAAATGAAAGCAAAGATCACAGCAAAGCTGAAACGAACCTAAACATGAGATTCTGGGAAGATATCCATCTCAAAGTTACTCTAAAAGCCAGCAAAACCTCTGCTCATACTACAGAAGTGCTTTCTCTCTCTGAGCGATTTTCAAAAATGAAAGGCCTTCAAAAGAAATTGAGTGAAAGAAACAATGAAATGATTCAAAGCCCAAGGATCCAAATGTGCAGTAGCAAAGGATACAAAGAAACTGCAACTTGTAATGTTGAACTAATACAACTACTAGCTCAGAGGTACAGTAAATCTAAAATGCATGTGAAATGGAAGAGCTTGAGCAGACCAGGCAGTAAGAAGACATGTCTCAAAAAACAGCATGTTGTTCTATCACTAGGTCACTCTCTAAAGAGGAGCATATATGTCAAAAAGACACGCTTTTGGAAAGCAAAGAGGAATCTTAGCAGAACAGCTGTGTCAGCTGAGAGCCCCCATGAAACAGTAAACAGCAAAGCAACATCAGACCCTTCAAACAGTCCATCTGAAATAGTCCTTACAGAACACGAAGATCAAGACCCAGACTCTCACACATCTGATGACAGACAATCATCACATGTTCAGGGTTCTCAGGAGGCTAATGCCACTCTTCCTGAGACCAAACCAATAGAGGAGCCAATAAATCCTACAGAACCACTTACAGAAGATATCTATAAAAGGGATTCAGTCTACACTGAGAAGGCAACAGAAGATTTTACTCCAAATCTAATCCCAGTAATGGTGGATAAAGGAGAACAAGTGAAGACAGCTGAAAACATCTCCAATCAAAGCCAAACATCCTTGATCACATGCACTAGCAAAGAACATGGGAGTAACACAGAGTGCAAAGAGGAGAACATATTGCTGAATTTGACATCAGAGACTGGACTGAATCCATTAAGCAAGGAGCATTTCACAATGAAAATCACAGTAGATGACAATGTAGATGCTTTGAGTATACATGATTATGAGGCATCAGAAACACACAGTGATGTGCCTGCAAGCAACACAATCAACAGTCATAAAACTGAACTCCATACAAACATGACTCCAGAAGCCAGGGTGATGGATACTATCAATGCTACGGCTGAGACAGACGCTATAAAATATAGTGAGCAAAATGCAAGTAGGAAAAATACTCTAAATGTACAGTGTTTTGAAGGAACAGAAAACATGTCAGCAAATATCCCACATATGAACCAATCATGTCTCAAAATGTTTACCAGCACATCTAATGTCAGAAGTGTTTGGAATACTGATTCTGAGGCATTTGAAGACACAACATCAGATTCAAAGCAGTGTGGTCCAAAGGCTTTGAAGTATGCATCAAATAATGCTGTAGATCTTACTGTTGATGATCCAGCTTTGAGCGTCCAATGTAAGATTTCTTCAGAACACACAAAGAAGAGCAACAACACTAGTTTGCTTGGTTCTACCAAATCACCAAGTACTCTGGCAATCAGAGACAACTGTAATTTATCAAAGCCAGAACAAAACAAAATTAATGAGGCAAACTCACCAGAAACCCAGCTCATTTCTAAACTAAGAGATTATTTGTCCAAATTTGAGTCCACTGTCAAGAAACAAGAAGCAGTGAATGAAGAGCTTAAAGAAAGACCAGTGGTGTGGATAACACTTGACAGCACAGCACATAAACAGCAGTTGTTTGAAAAAAGCCAGTATTGTATGGTAAATGTTCCCTGCCTGATGCCTCATGGGAGTGAAGCTGTTAAAAAAGACAACTCAAGTGAATACTCTGTGAAAAACTCTGTTCAAACTAGGAAGGTTCTTCGAAGTGAACACGCTCAAAATGGAACTGATGTTTGCCTACTAGTGCCTGTTGAATCTAGGAGAGGCCGACGATCTTCTCAAACCAAACAAACCAGCAAGCAAAGATCAAGGAGGAGCTCAGTCACTAGTGTCAGTCCTGACAGTACTAGTGCTATAGACACCGTCAAAGATAACAGTCCTCACCCTTTTCCCCAGGTGAACGACCGGAATGCTGTTTTTCCAAAAATCTCCATCAATAACACCCTTAATGCCCAGTTACAGATGCAAAGAATAAACACAACAGGCCAACAAAATCCCTCAATGAGTTTGAATACTTTATGTAAGCAAAAGAGTCAAAAGAAACAATCTTTGAAAACCATAAAAATCATTGATGATGGCAATGTGAGCAGTACATTCGCTGACAATAAATACAGCATCAGTGACATTTCAAATACTCTTAAAATGGCAGATCAAACAACCTCATTAACCGAACTTGGATCTTTGCAGTCTAAATGCAAAAGCATGTTGCAGCATTTTATCTCAGGTTTTGAACAAGACCAGAAAGTGCCATTCAACCAATATTTCGTTTCAAGGTGTCTCATCTTAGAGCAATATTTGGACCATCCACCTGCACAAGTAGACCTGAAATATGAAGCGGTGAATTCTTACTTGGAGTTGCAGATGATGATGGAAGCTTGGCAGTTTGTAGAAAACAAAATTAACTTTCTGAGCGGTAAACCCACGTTTAGGAGTTTGCTATGGTATGACCCTTCTCTTTATGGAGAACTCTACAAAGGGGAGGTTGGCTTTCAGCAGCAGTCGTCGTTGTTAGCTTCTTTTCAAAAGATCTTAGCACAAGAGGGCTACAGTAAACTGCAGGAATACTACAGTGCAGTGTCCTCCTTGCACCAACAGCTCCATGCGGCCCCTGATGCATCTTACTACATGTATCTGAAGAGTAAGCGTGAGCTCCTTGAGGCTGAGGCTGCACTAAAAAATCCCCACAACATTAAAAGCTTCTTTTTATCTGTACCAATGTCTGCAATGATCAATTTGGGAGACAGTTTGGAAAGATTGGAAAAGATACACAAAGTGATAATGACTTTTGTGGAAACACCTTCGGATCAGTTGCCAGGGACATTTGATGTGGGCAAAGCAGAGCATCTGTCCATCACATGCAGATATCTCCAAGAAAAAGCTCTTTTCATGAAATCATGCAAAGAAATAATTAGCAAAGTATCATGGTTTGGAATCGAGCACCTTCTTTATGATGCCTCTAAGGTTCTTGTATGGCAAGACATGAGTCATTGTGCACCAAGTGAGGTTCTCAAGACACATAAGAATTCAAACCCGCAGATTACTTTTGGGGTGACAGAGTCAGGTGTTACTCTCGTAAACAAAGTGGAACAGCCCCCTCTGTCTATGGATGGAGCAGAGACCCCAACAAAACAACAGAGTGATGCTGCTCGGAAACGCAAAGGTTTGCAGTTATGGACGTCCTCTCAACCCAGTGTTGCGCAGGTAAGATTTTGGTAGGTATACCATGTGAAGATTGAAAGTCAACATGAAATCAAAATGTTAACTTTAATGCTAACTTTTAAATGAAACTTGCTCTGAAATCACTGTTCCTTAAAATGCTTATGATGCATTATTATAGCAAACTCTCATTTTGTCTGGCTCCTTACATTAACAATAACACCTACTTTTTACGATCCGATAATCAGTTACTAACAAATAAAGTACAATTTTTCTCACTGGAAATTCTCATTCACATGGAAAGTCACATTTCACATCTGACCTCAAGGATGTTAGAGCTGCTAGAATTGGATGATAGAGATGTTTAATTCCATTTGGTTGCAAAGAAAAATATTGTAAATTTTTCTAAATGTCTGTTTGTTTATTTATTTCTAATATAGAGCGTAAAGGCTGGCAAGGATGTGGCTTATAAAATGGCTAAAAGGAGGTAGGAGACATTGTTGCTATTTAATTTAAGAATCAAATGCTGATTTTTTTTTATCAGCCTCTAATGTATTGGTTTTAAGTACATTTTTAACTATTCTAAAATGTGTGGGTAATAAATGTTTTCCAAAATCTTCAGGGCATCTCTTTCACCCCGAACACAATGTAATGCTGTGAACGCCCTTTTCCAAACAACTTCTGCAACCCATGTTGAGAACCCGACCCCTTACTACACTCTTCCTCACAGAGTGGATCCAGAGCATTGGGGAATGGTTGGAAGCACTGCTGCAGACTGGAACGCCTCTGACTTAGTCCCACCTTCACCTTCGACGTCTCATGCACACTCTGAAAGAAATTATCTTCATCTGTCTAATATACGAGCGACTTTATCACATTCTGATGAGAGGAGATCTATAGCAGACATACAAAGACCTCAACAGCCTTCAGTCTCGGCTCCCCAAGCAACTTTACGAGAAGATTCTTGTGTTACACGTCAAGCATTTGACAGTGTTAAATATCAACAAACTAACACTGCGCCACATTGTCCTGTGCTCTCACAAGAACAGTTAAACCAGTTCAGTTTAGCCATGACACAACCTTATAGTTTGCCAAATTGCCATTTGAATGCAAATTTGATACCTCCTCCTCTCTCAGTTCAGGCTTTGACACATGTCCCTATGCCCAGCACGATTACAGCAATTCATTACCCATACTTCCTTCTGAATGGACAAACATACACCACAGGCTCCACTGCAGCCATTCACCCTGATACTAGATATTATCCTAACACCATTTAGGGCTAATGTACTACGAGCTTCGATTGAATCAGAGATATGTATTTTTGTAAGTCGGTTATATTTACAGGTAAATTACATCAAATAACTTGTTCAGGGGTGGCCAGCGTCAGTTCTGGAGAGCCACAGTCCTGCAGAGTTTTGCTCCAACCTTGATAAAACCAAACCTGTGTGTTGGTTTCTAGTAAACCTTAGATCTTGATTAGCTTGTCCAGGTGTGTTTGATTAGGGTTGGAGCTGATCGAAAGCCACTAAAAGGCAAGCCTGCAACCTTTAGCAAAAAAAAGTGAAACAGTTAATGCTAATGCTTCCGGTTTGCCAGTAAAAAAATGCCATTTTATAAGAGAAGTCACTGACTTTTTGTGACAGGTGGGATACAGCTTACAGCATTTCTCATTTATTCCTATGGTATCCGTAAACGACGATTGAGTGTCGGACAACTCTGAAATTCAATGACGTCAAAACTGTAATGTGATTGGTTATTAAGGCACACATGATCCAAGTTGACCATTACACTTTCGACAAAAGTAAGTAATACAGACCCTCTCATCTCCCTATAGTAAAACAATCTCTGGCTGTACTCTGCAGGACTGTGGCTCTTCAGGACTGACGTTGGCCACCCCTAAACTAGTTTAACTAGTTTATCTTAAAACCTAAATCCCACAGATTCACAAATGCAGTTGGTGCTTTTAAGCAAATGTACTTTAATGTATATATGATATAACATACATTTTCTGGTAAAACCTTCCAAGTACTGTACATAACAATGTTTTATACAAAGAGTTGATGTTCAGTTACTTTGTTGTAGTATTTATTGCAATTAAACATTTATTTTCTACAAGTTAACATGAATAAATAAATTGTTTGATAATTCTACATATTTATAGACAAATTATTCTGCTATATACAGGCCAATCAACCTACTTAATCACAATGCTGCATTCAAACCTCTTACACATTTATTTAATTGGAAATTCATTAGAAACATGATACTTGCACTACTATACTGCACTGATTCTAACATCGGTAGGTCCAGTAATGCAGTCTTGGTAGCTATTTACGTAACCAAACAATTTCACTCTGCTGTGCTGAGTTTTATTGCTTTGCTGTTTATAAACTTGTAACTTGTAGGGTGACTACTTTTTTCATATAATTGGGTCCTTCTTTTGGCAAATGTGACGGCTCATTTTATTTTAAAGTGTTTAATTTTTATTCTATTTTAAAAATTATTATTATTATTATTATGATTATTATTTAAAAAGCAACAGAACACACAAGTTGTGTGTTATCACAAATATCTCTGGAATTAATCATTCCACATGATGTAAGTAACTAGAATAGGTTACCCAGTTTAGGCTATTTCTCTGCTATTTTTTGTTTGCATGCACAAAATTATATGCACATTATTTTTTACTTGTATTTATTTATTTTCATTGCAGAACATACACAGGGAATCTTGGCTAAACATTATGCATTAGGTGCAGGGATGCATGTGATGTCTAGTTTTTCTGACTTACTGGTTTTATACTGTATATACAGAATAACTGATTAAATGTGTACAGCTTATAGAATAGCCTTAATTTAAAAATTAAAAGATACGTGGCATTTGAACACGTCTATTAAATCAATTTCCGTAATTTGTGAGTTGTTAATGGTCCTCCTGACCGCAGGGGGCAGCACATCGCTCAGAGCGTTCCGAAGCGTGCCTTTCCGATGACGTCACGGGCGGCGAGCGCAGCGGCCATTACACTGCGCGTGAGGAAGGTCGGAAGCGCGACGAATCAACGGAAAAATCATCAACAGCAGACCGCGGATACCGTCAAAAGACATCTATCAGTTACCACCAAATCTAGATAAAAAACACCAGTGACACGGGATTTCGTGTTTAATGAGCTGATATCCGAGGTTAACAGCGGTGTTTGGTGGCTGTGTTTCGAGAGTGTGGCAGCGCGCTCGCTGCTCGTTTAATTAACGAAGAATCTGTGAGGATTACCACGGAATCGCGCCGGTGATGGATGATAAAGCGTTCACGAAAGAGCTAGACCAATGGATCGAACAGCTGAATGAGTGCAAACAGCTGACCGAAAACCAAGTGAGAACACTCTGCGAGAAGGTACAGAAAATGTCAGGTTCATAATACACCATTAGGTCATACTTATCGTTTAATAAACATAAACGGTACTGTTAAACTTAACATCATTGTAAGTGAACGCTCTGAGAAAAAATAAAATGTGTGATAATTAACGTTAGGATGTTTAAAAAATCGCCACGATTCTTTGGACATAATGAATGAGATGTGCATAAACATACACCGATTTCATGATTTTAATGTGTTATAGTTATTATCGTATCATTTGACTGAATTAACACCACAGTCAACACACGTCTGAGTGTTAGTGTTCACTATTGTTGTTGTCAATCTATATAGGTTAGAGTTGGCTGTATTTGTTTTCTACCTGGTTTTTCAGTGTCTGTAATTTGTTGTGTAGAGGTGTTATTTGCTATTTGTAGATTTGAAATTGACTGCCTGTCTGGTTAAATGGTAACCTCCAGCTAATTCACTCTATTTGCTTTAAGACAGCCACTACCACTAGTTGCATTTACAAATGACACAGACCTTGCCTCACTAGACGACATCACACCTTTGATATCATCATGACTCCATAGATATAGATTCAAATGACCGTCTTCAACAGAGCTCTTAAGTAGATCCAAAAAATAAATTTTATACAACTGAAGGGTAAACGGTTCTCATTAATAAATTCAAGAAGTGAAAAAGTGCAATCTTGCAGTCAACATAAGGATACGTTCCTGTAGCTCAAACAGCAGAGCATGCCTGAAAAAATGCATGCATTCAATGCAACTTGGGTCTCTTTGGATGAAATGAAATGTAGGAAGGCTTTATCAGGAGTGTTTTAGTGTGTGTGTGTCTGTGTCTGTGAAGATGGTTTTCATTTAAGCAATAAGGTATGAGACCGAACTATATTGTGAATTCAGTCAGGGTACTACTGTTAGGCAACTGTAGTCTGTAGTGTGGCATCGAAAGCCTTATTGCTTTTTATAAAAGTTATTTGCATATTTACAGTTGTGGTCACAGACATTAAAGGGCCCCTATTATGCCCCTTTTTACAAGATTCAATATAAGTCTCAGGTGACCCCAGAATTTATCTGTGAAGTTTCAGCTCAAAATACCTCACAGATAATTTATTATATCATTGATAATGCCCATTTTAAGTGGAAGCAGAAACATGCTGTTTTCGTGCATGTATCTTTAAATGCAAATTAGCTGCTGCTCCCCGCCCCCTTTTCCAGAGTAGGGCGGAGCCTTTCAGATACTCTGCCAAAACAAAACCTCTATTTGGTTTTGATTAGGGCTGCACGATAAATCGCTTGCGATATTTAACGCGCATCTTGTCAGAAACCCGGTTCTGTAATCAGCGGTAAATCTCCATCACGTGCGGGCTTTCACATTGAGCAGCATTAACTACACAGAGCCGTTGTATCGCATGCGATATATCGTGCAGCCCCTTTTTTTATTATCAGGTCTATCGCGCTGAAATCATGCATTTTAAAGCCATATTAGTTTAAACTTCTGATATATGGTTTTCTGAGCACACACCTCCGAAGCACGCGCACAGAAAGCACTTTCACATTGAGCAGCATTAACTACACAGAGCCGTTGTATCGCATGCGATATATCGTGCAGCCCTTTTTTTTTATTATCAGGTCTATCGCGCTGAAATCATGCATTTTAAAGCCATATTAGTTTAAACTTCTGATATATGGTTTTCTGAGCACACACCTCCGAAGCACGCGCACAGAAAGCACATGGCATGTGAGTTAAACACTAAGCTCTCTTTTTATGTCTTATTGTGCTTAAACTGTCAAATACACACAAGTTTGTCAAAAACACACATGATCCATAAACATTTGAAAACTGTTATGTCTGTGAAGGTAAACAGCTGGGAAAGAATTATATTTATAATTTAATTTAGATTTATATTAGATCTGTGTTATAAGTGACAGCAGCATGATATACAGTACCTACTGCTGTCTACGCTGTTAATATGAGCCAAACAATAAATAAAAACAGAAAATAACTCACTGCTCTTGACCGAATAACTTCTAGCTTTATTAAGACGACATTTCTTGAATGCTGCTTTTAAATGCTCTAGCGTGAAGATAAACATGGCGGATTGTGTGCAGCTCACTTAGGGCGGGGGCTCTGCTAATATATGATGAACCAAAGCTGTGTTGACCACTCATCACTCTGCTTACTTGACTGTAATTTACTCTGTTGTATAGAGCAATACCACACTCACACTAGGGCTGAACGATTAATTGCATTTGCGATAATATCGCGATATGAGAAAACGCGATTTTTCAATCGCAGAGGCTGCGATTACACGGTCACATGACACGCAAGAGTAAAGAGGTGTCTTTGACTTCAAAGTACGGAGTGTATGACATCAAAGTACGGCGAGCGAGAGAAAGCATAAGGAGATGTAAGCGCTCTCTTATAGCTCTCGCAGTGCTTTGATGACACACACCCATCGGTCTAAGCAGCGCTGCTTCAAGTCGAGCGCGGGCCATCAGCAGAAAAAGAAAATAAAACGGTAAACAGCCAAAGGATGTAACTTAGAATGGGAGATGGATCGGTTTTGGAATGCGAAGAGAACAGCCATAGATGAAGTTGCACAGACCCAGGCAGGTGCTGGTCATTCAAAAGCTAAATGCAGAAAATATGACAAGGCATATCTTGCTCTCGGTTTCTCTCACCGTGTCTATACCGGGTGCCGCGCCGCAACAGCTCTACACTAGACGCGACAAAGCTACCATTGCAAATCATTTGAACTTTGTGTCAGTACATCATAAATAAAACAAGGCATCAGTTTAATGTCGGGGTTTATCATGTCGCGCCACATCTAGTGTAGACAGCGTCACGGAATATAATGGGTTCTACTGTATTTTGGCGCTCGCGTCCAGTGTAGACACGGTGTTTAATGTCGTTGGTGAGGAAAGCCTGTGTGTCCTATGCCTTAGCGGACAGCATGAAACCCACAAAAAATACATAAATAATAGAGAGAGAATAATAATAACAGTTATTCTCTCTATGCTATTTTTCAGTGTTTCAAGTGATGTAGGTGTTTTTAAATTAAAAAGCATTAATTTTTCATAATGTTTAGTGAAATTATTTGGTAGTCTGAGGTGGGGATTTGGTAAAGGGGGGCCAAAAAAGTTTGAGAACCACTGGTCTAAAGTTAACAGACAGTGTTTAGTGCAGTGCACATGTTTACATACAGTGGGTACGGAAAGTATTCAGACCCCCTTAAATTTTTCACTCTTTGTTATATTGCAGCCATTTGCTAAAATCATTTAAGTTAAATTTTTTT